TCATATCGCACTACACCACGCCACATTACATGCATACTTACATACATGCACACATACACCACCACAGTATACTACATTACATTACATAACTTTACCTAACATTGCACTTCAATCATTTATGCACGCACACAGCACACACACACACCTACACGTACATACACACGTTTGTACATCAAGTACTGGGCTCCAGGTGGACAGGCCCTACGTGAGCATGAAGTGCTGGACCGCAGATAAACATGACGGGCCGGGTCCCTGAGTGTAATGTACTGTTGTGTTTGGCACGCAATGTATGTATGTGTGTGTACGCACTTGTGTGTGTATTTATTTTATGTACATGATACAGGCATGCGTGTGTGTACGTATGATGTGCATGTGTGTTTCGTATGTATGTTGTGCAGTGTGTGTAATGTGTGTAATGTATGTAATTCGATTTATTTATGTAACGGTTGCGCTGTATGTATGTATGTGTGAAGATGTTATATTGTATCGTACTGCAAAATAATGGGATGTAAGGCAACGTAGTGCACAAATTTTGTGTATGTATGTTATGCATGTGTGTATGTATGTATGTATTGCGTGTGCGTCATTTGTGATCTGATCAAATGTGATGTGTTAAGATGTGATGTGATGTGATGTGATGTGATGCGATGCATGTGTGTATGTGTGACCAATTTTTGGCAAACAGTTGATCAACTTGACTCATGACTCACGGCAAACCATGCATGTTGTTTGCATGTTGTTTGCATGTTGGTGCCAAATTTTGGCAAACTCTGGCAAACTCTGGCAAAATCTGGCAAAATTTGGCAAACCTTGGCAAACATTGGCAAACATTGGCAAACCTGTCTTTGACCCTAGACCTGCTAACTCTCGACCCCCACTTTGGATTGATGATTATGCTAACCTATCCACTCTAGGAAAAAGTTGGTACCCTTCCTCCAGGCCTGGACGTGTTGGCCCAGCACCGCCTGATCTTTGCGGCCGGGGCCGGCCAGAAGCGGCGCTTCTTCGTGGACTGAAGGCTGGCTAGCTGGATTGAGGGCTTGCGCGAGTGGCCAAAGGACCTTGGGTCTCCCACAAAATATGTCATACTGTGGATGGACAGAATCCTGCACCACCTGAGAAACCCGGGAATACCAACAAACCACGGTTTCCATGGCTTCTTTGGTGCAGGGTTTCGTCTATCCACAGTATTTTAGGGTTGTCAAAATATGGAGCAGAGTCGGATAATACACTGCTGGATCTTCCAAATCATGGAATTTTAACGTAAAATTCGGAGACTGCCAGTTTCACGTTACCCTATGCTTCCTCGACTATTTTTTAAATAGGGGTTGTTCAACCCCTATTTTTTGCATTGACAACCCCTATGTTTTGACATTTGCCTTTGGGGTCCATTTTGGGTTGTTACTTTGTTTTATTGAAATTACGCATGCTATTGCAACCTCTTAAGAAGCCTTGGGAGCCAGTAGATTACTATTTATTGATAGGGTCCTCGGCGCCCTTTCGTGTGTGCACAATGCACCTGCTGAAAGTCTTGCGTAGACGGAGCCTTCATTCTAGCAAATTCTAGAATTTTCCTCTGCAAATTGCGCAGGTGGCACGAACAACAAGCAATTGTGTGCTTGTTTTTTCCGCTCCAATCTTCACACAGCTCCAAAAACTATGTGAGCGTAGACAAACCGTAGACAAAGCGTAGAAAAACCGTAGAAACACCATTTTTAAGCGTAGAACCACTATTTTTTGGCGTAGAACCACTATTTTTTGGCGTAGAACGGGCAAATTTTGCAGGGGACCCAGAAGATCAACATTCTCACCCTGGAATGGTTGCTGTAAAGGGGATTTGTTTTTTGCTGTCCCGTTTGGTTTGGTTTGGCTAAGAAGGTGGGGCAAAAGAAGGACAGAAACGGTCAGAAGAGGATTCACCCTCACGCGCTACATGGCCATGTTCAGAAACCAAGCAACAGAGAAGCCAACATTAGCCTTGAAGATTGTAACACATATTGCTGCATATGAAAATACCTGTTCGGCTTTGGGATGCTATGAGGCGGCCTTAGCGTCAAGTCTTTCCTAGTCCCGTTGCAGTCCAAAACGGAGGCTGCCGCTCGTCATCAAGAAATAGTCTTTATCAAAAAACCGGGGTTGTCACAAAGACGATTTTTTTTCATAGGCTTTGGAAGCATAGGGTTAAATTGATTGTCACTTCTGGAAATGGCTTGCGCACCTGAAACGCCTAGAAAGCGCATTTAGTTGGTATATACTTGACGGAGGGAACCCTCCAATTCAGAAATATTCTGAATCAGAATCGTTCACGTGAATCAGAATCACTTATTCAGAATTCAGGATTGTTCAGAATTCGAAATTGTTCACAGAGATTGTGCCTTTGGGCGACAAATTGGCAAAACCGGAAAGCACTACACCTGAAACTCAGCGCAAAACACCCGCAAACTCCCGCAAATAAAAAAAAGACAGAGTTTCCGGAGAGTGCAGTTTCAGTAAAATCAGTGGAACACCCACTCGAGTGAGCAGAGTTGCATAGTTGCTGGGATAGTGCACAGAACTGCACAATTGTGGGCCCAAGCAACGAACAAAGACAACAAGACTTGTTTCCCAATTGTTTCCTCCAAGAACCACTCCTAGAGGACCTAGGTACGCATTTTTCCTGGAAGCGCGCGAAGGGTTCTTCCCCTGGACAACGGCTGGCGGTTTACACGGCAAACATGTCCTGTCAACTTCTCGGGTGTTACTCTTTGCTGAGATTGCCAGCCAACTTTTCGGGTTGCTAAAATTGCCAGATAGTTTTTCTGGTGTTACTTACTATCCTACAAGGAGCTGATTTGTCCTTTCTACTTTCTTTGTACAAAAGCCCGAGTGTTTTGCACCGATGAACCCTGCGCGGGGATCGCGGGTCGATGTGCAAAAAGACCAGTGTCTTGCAACTTGTTCTTTATTTTGGTGAACCCTCTGCGAGGATCGCGGGTCGATGTGCAAACCCCCAGTGTCTTTTAACTTGCACTTGGTCGCGACGAACCCGAGTGTTTTGCAACTTTCTTGATCTTTGTGAACCCTCTCTGCGGGGATCGGCGTGTTGAAGTAAAAGCTAGTACGGGAAGCACTGCTCCCTCAGCTTGGAAATCGCAATTGCCAAGTACAACAGCAGCATGCCGAATACACTCGCGCAGTTCCAGCTCGAACATGGCAACTGCGGAGCACTAAAGTGCCATACACAATAACCAATCGCGCAATCTCTACTTATATATAGACGTGCATAAATCCGCAAACATCACGCCACCCAAAACTACATCTGCATAGTTGTGAGCAAAGGCCCTGGTTTCAATTCGCCTGTTTCTATGCTTCCGGACTGCCATCTAGTTGTTTGTGTCTCAGAGGAGCTCCTAGGTGCTTTAGACCAATGTGATTCCTGAGGGCACTGTGAGAATCAAGATATGCATGTATTCACCCCTCGATCACTGCACGCACTAGTTCATTGAAATCAAGATATCGAACAGAGGAAACCTCCCTGGACCCCCTAAGGCGTTTCGGCACGCAGTGTCTGGGGGACATATAGGCACAAACGTTGTGCTGCTGGGACGAGGTTGCGACGAATGTAACGAAGGAGGAGCCGTGTGCACTCGCGGCGGACTTGGCAGATCAGGCGGTATTGACCATGACCATGACATTATGTCACCGGCGCGTGGCTAGTCGAACCGTCCAGGGGGGCGGCCAGTGTCACAGGTGTCACTATGGGCAAGGTACAGACGGAAGGCCGCTGCTGGCTGCCCAAAGAATCCGGCCCCTACCGGGGCATCAAGGGGAAAAAAGGCTGCATGTGCGTGTGTGTAACATGTCCAGACATATATCACACACGCATATACAGGAGTGTGAGTGTGTGTGTGTGTGTGTGCGTATTCAACCTCATTGACGCTATTTCGAGGTTTTGTGTACCTTTTTCCCTTGGGGCCCGGTTTGCGGGTTTCCAGCCCATCCGAGCGCAGTGATCGGTGCCTCTTGCCAAGCGATCGGCACGATGTACAGGTCGGCGAGATGCGCCGTCGCGTGTCCCATGCACAGACTGCCCTGGGTCCTATATCACCTTCTCGGGGGGAAGCCTCTCACTTCTGCAACGGGGGCCCAGTGCTATTTGGAGGCGTCTCAAAATACAGAGGTCCCCAAACTTCCTTGTGGCTTCCATTCACCATGCAAGGGCACCCGCAAGAAAGGGCATGGGATGACCATAAAAGAAACCTTCAATAAGATGATATGTTCCAAACAAAATGGGACACACATGGCCATGGTCAAGACTGGGCGCCCGAAATCTCCGCAACAATTGGTGGACAAATTACCCCATGGGAAAAAAGAAACTGGGGGCCCCAGGTTCTCTCAGTGGAATATTGATCAACCCCCGCATCTGAGTGTTGGTTGTGACGGACCTCGGGACTGGCCAGTTGCGTTACGAGATGCGGTCGGCAAGCGCCCCAGAAAAACGGGCAGTCCGCCAAAAAAACCGCTTGCGCTTTTGGGAAGGTCGGCTTTTGGGAGCTGGTCCCGTGTTTTTTGGGATTGTGTGTTTTCTTTTTTCCCCCTTCTTGGGATTGTGTTTTGCTCGGTTGTCTTTGTTGGGATTGTTGCCTCTTTCCCCCCTTTCGTGGGAGTGTGTTTTGCTCGCTCCCCCCTTTCTGGGGATTGTGTGTTGCGTGCTTTCGCAGCAAAGCATGTCAAGCCACAGGCCTCGGAATAGGGGAGAAGGCCCCCTTGGACTTTGCGGGGAGAAAACTACGCCAACTAGAACTTCCCTAAGGGTGATGACCCCTCCAATGCGCACCCAATGGAGAACCCCCACCCCTCAGTTTGGAAACCACCAGCTTCGAAGGAAAGTCAACAATGGGGACCCTTCAGTGCTTGGGGTTGTTCAACTAAAGGGAGGCACTTGTAGAAGGAAAGCAAAAACCAGGCACCAGGGCCTACGCGGCGCTTTTTTTTCCCTGCGACTTTTTGTTGGGCGCCAGGCCTTGAGGATCAGCGACATGGAGAAGATCTTGCGGAACCTAGGCGCACGCTTTTCGTGTCTTTTTGGGGGGGGGGACGGAGGGAGCAAAGGTAAAGAAGCATAGGTGTCAGCTTTTGATGGGTTAGGTTGGTGAAAAATAGATGGGTTTCACTGGTTTAGATGGGGTTTAGTTCCATTTACCAGGGAATTCCAGCGATTTGTCCAAAAGGCCACCCATGTAAAGAAAGTCACCACTTAGCCATTGCGGTATGTGAGGAAGTGGGGTTCCAAGGCAAGATGTAAAGATCAGGACACCGCAAAAACATGTTTCTAATGTTGAGAAAGCGCGCTATTTTGTCCCCTCATACGAGGCGCTTAGATCAGCTTCCTTTCATTTGGTGGTTGGATTGGTGGTTTTGTTCAGGATTCTCTGGCGCCAGCGCTTCAAATCCGAATCACCGATTCAATTCACCGATCAAGGGCTACCTGATCAGATGTTCAGCCATGGCACTCTCCGGGTCCGACAGCCGAGCTCGAGTTCCGGAGGGCCCACATTTCGATCAGACGCCAGGGTATTTGGGGCAGCGACACGTGTGCCGAAATGGATTTGCTACGTTATCCACTACCCAGAAAATGCATGTACATACACACATACATATACACACCTACATTTTTTGACCAAACACTGAGGAGGGGACAGAGTTCCACATGCGGAATTTAGATATCTCAATACGGTAACACAAAATCCAGGAGCCAAGATCCAAGATTCATGGGGGACTTTTGGGACCATGGATTTCTAAGTACCGTATGTAGAAACCTATGTACGGAATTTTCATGTCAGGGGCAGACATTCGTGGATCCAGATTGCTCCGGCCCTCCATAAATATTTGATCTTGGATCCTGGATGTTTGTTTTAACGATATTGAGAAGTCCAACTACCGTATTTAGATCTCAAAAGTCTCCCTACAAGTCCTCCAAAACAATCGTCTATCCTCCCAGGAAAGGATGCACGCCTACACGTGTCTGCTTAAATCTACACGAAAACAGGGGGCACCTTGTGGGGCGGGGGGCCTAAGCACATGTATATATTTAGATGTATCTCTATATATATATATTATCCCCTTCAATCAGCACGTTCTTTGCTTTCATTGTTATACACCCGAACCTTTTGTGGGGTCGTGGGTGGGGCCTGGACCTTGCAGCGAGTTGAACCATTGGACTGGGACCCAGAGGGTTTCGGTTTACGACTTGCACGAAGCTTCTTTCTTGCGTCCACTTCTGGGGCTGGGGAAGGCTTGGCCTACTTCCCGGAATTCAAAGGGGCGTTTGGCGAGGTATTTTTCGGGGCACTCCGAAGTGGCCGTCGGACGTCGCACCAAAATTCGCGGCAGGCACGCTGCACCAACCCTGGAATTGTCCGCATGGGCGCCCGACCATGCGGCACTTGGTGGATACCAGCGCTGCCCGGAAGGCGGGGCCTGCAAAGCTGTCGAAAGGTCATCCCACTGAAAAAAGTGGCGATCGGATGCGTCAGGTAAGTGGTTAGTACCGACTTAAAAGACTTATAACCATGGCAAGTGGGTTAATTATAATCATGGTGATTGCCCACTTACTATGCCAAGTGTCCTGCCCCTTTAAGCAGGAACTCAAAAGGGGAGTGTCCTGTATCCACCGCAAAGGAAAGAAAGGCTAGCGAATGGAAGTTGGGCCTTCCTGCCATATTTGCAATAGGGGTGACGCCACATCTATACGAATAAGACATCTCAAATTGGTGGACCTCTTTTGGTTGGTGGGTTGGTGTTTGAAGCGACGCCAACAAAACACACCATACACACTCCCCCCCCCCCCACACAGAGACTTGCGTTCCACAGGAAGTCACTCAATTCTGTGGGGGTCTTGATTCGCAGACCTGATTCCAAAACAAAAACCGCTGAAGCAGTTGGGACTTTTGAATCGCACAGAATCAGAGCAAGGCCTGAAAAGCATAAATGCCGGTTGACTAGCTGGGTTCATACCGTGGGTGGACATAATCCTGCACCACCTAAGAAACCCTGGAATGATGAGTCCCCTATAAATACCAACAAACAATGGTTTCAACCATGGTTCTTAGATCCACACACACTGTACCCCTCTTTTTGGACGAAACAACGAGCCAACAACCTGGCTTGGGACATAGCAACACTTCGCTTCAAGTGCGCCCGTCGCGAGGCGCGTGCCTGATGGGAACTTCCTTTGCCGCAGGTGCGGGAGTTTTTGCGTGCCGAGACGTCGCCTTGGGGGCGAGTCGAGTGGCATGGGCCACTGCGCTTGTTTGCATGGAGGTTCTGGAGCTATTTGTGTGCTGAGTAAACATTCAACTGGGGGTTTTCAGGTGGTTGCTGATGGCTTGTAATGGGAATCCCAGATTAATAAACCCCTGTTTGTCAATAAGCGGGTTCAGTGGGGATTCATCACTTTTGGACGGGAACACCTCCCTATTACTAGGACAGGTGTGTTCAACCGGGTCAGCATTAGTTGAT